CAGGTCAGAAGCTAGGAATACTGCAGTGAGTAACTCACCTCCTGACGCCTCAAAGCCTGTCCACCATCCACAAGTCAGAAGTGTGATGGAATACCCCCACTTGCTTGGATGGGTGCAGCCCCAACAACACTTAAGAAGCTTGACCCCATTCAGAACAAAGCAGCCCACTTGATTGACATTACATCCACAAACATCCACTGTCTCCACCACCAATGCTCAGTAGCAGCCGTGTGTACTACCTGCAAAAATTCACCAAAGGTCCTTAGACAGCACCTTCCAAACCCATAACCACTTCCAAAGGTCCTGGAACTCCCTACCTAATGGCATTATGTGTCAACCCACAGCAGGTGGACTGCAGTGGTTCAAAGAAGACAGCTCACCACCATCTCCAGTGAGGAATGGGAATTAAATACTCGCCAGCCAGCGATGCCCATGTCCCCTGAGTGAATAAGTAAAGCTACTGTCAAGTAAGTACATCAGGTAAGTGTGAGATTAAGGTACTGGCATGGTCAGGTGCCAGGTGAATAGGGTGCCTCAGTGCAAGGTGGCAAGCATGCCTAGTAGGTGATTGAGCATTGAGGGCTGGGTGGGACAAATTGGGTCTGGCAGCAGATGGGGGAGAGTGGGTGCTGTGGGTGTTATGGGTGTCTAATCCAGTGAGGGAGGGTGGAGGGAAGGTCATTCAGTAGTATGGTGCCCTGTCCAATACAGTGGAAGAGTGTTGTTGGTCAGAGAAGACCATAGTTGTAGCTCCCAGGGATGGTGGGTAGAGAGCCAACATATCAGGTTTAATTCTGGGATTTGACCTGTCCAGTAGTACCATCCACTGAGATCATTACACCAGTTAGTTATAGCTGCAAGGTTGCACAGCAAGGGATAGTGGAACAGCTTTGGGTTTGTATAGAATGCATCTGCAGTCAAATGGCCAGTTGAGTTTCACTGTAATTGCAGAATGATAGCTTGAATTGGGATGCTGAAGAGTGCAGAGGTACATTTGGCAAGTGTTCAATATCTAGTTTTTAAAGAATTGAGAACCAAATGCTGAAAATGAACCTGCTCAGACTGTTGGACATATCAAACCCTTGATTGTATTTTTTTTTGATTTGGATAACAGCAGGCACTCAGAAGTGAAGTAGACCCAGCAAATAGATAATGACTGAAACAAGGATTTTCATAGCAGGAAGGATTAATCCTCATTGATTAGTTTAGCCAAAGGCAAAAGCTTATTAAATCACTGGTTAGAAATAACGCTGAAATTTATGGAGATAAATACAGGTGGAGATAATGAATCTTGCTTTCATTGGTCGGGACATTGAGTATAAGAGTTGGGACGTCATGTTGTGGCTGTACAGGACATTGGGTGAGGCCACTTTTGGAATGCTGCACACCCTTCAGACGGTGCAGAAAAGATTTACAAAGATGTTGCCAGGACTGGAGAGTTTGAGTAATAGGGAGAGGCTGGGGTTTTTCCCTGGAATGTTGGAGCCTGAGGGGTGACTTTACAGAGGTTATGAAATGATGAGGACATGGATAAGGTGAATAGCCAAGGTCTTTTTCCTAGGATGGGGGAGTTCAAAACTAGAGGGCAAAGGTTTAGGGTGAGAGAGAAAAGATTTTAAGAGGAAATAGGTTAATTCTTTAATGCAGAGAGTGGTGCGAGACTGGAATGAGCTGCCAGAGAAGTGGTAGAGGCAGGTACAATTACAACATTTAAAAGGCATCTGGATGGGTATATGAATAGGTTTAGAGGGAAATGGGCCAAATGCTGGCAAGTGGGCCCAGGTCAGATTGGAATGTCTGGTTGGCATAGATGATTTGGACCATAGGGTCTGTTTCTACGGTGTATGACTCTATGACTCTACACCATGGAATTTGATTCCTGGAGCAGTGGATATTTAATCTTGCTGTTTTTGAATAGTTTAAGTAGAAAGAACAAGGGGTTAATTAATTGAGGCTGCATCTGTATTTGAATGAGTGAAAAGAACAAGGTTAGTGAATCCAATGATCTTTTCTTATTACTTTGTTTATTTTATACCATGTCAAAAATTTTTGATAAATTATTCACTATAAAGGTTTGGAATTAAATGCAGATTTTTGTCTTTATCAGAAAAATATATGAACATAACATAATTTTACGATTTGTTCTTAGGATCTAGCAATTACAGGCAAGGGAACCTTTATTGTCACCATAAGATTTATGTCTCAGTGTCCCTAAGAATACCCTCTGATCAATGTAGTGTCTCATTAACTTAGAAAAAGGCTGTAAAAATATGACGAAGAGGAGTGAGATGTTCTCATTATAGCATGTAAAATAAGAATAGCCCCCATTTAGAATTACAGCCATAACTCCATGTAGAATACAACCCTAAATAGTAAAGCACTTGAAGCAAATAGATCATTTTTTTTGAATTTCAATAATTTTGCATTCTTTAAGGTTGAGTAGGTCATTGTTCATAAATGGAAAGGTTCTTATTATCCACTTTATTAGCCCCAGCTAGTGCCAAATCATTGCAGGTCAGTTAGATCATGGCCTGATGCAAGTCTTGTATTACTCCGCCTTGTACCACAGCTTAACTCCAATAGAAGAAATATACCCCATTGTGTAGTTGTGTGAATATTTACATTTTTGGCTTATGGCCTCTTTTAAATGAGATATTTAATTTAATGGCAATGTATGCTAAATTGCGGGCATTTGATGCTGAGATTCTTGCCAATTAGGACTTATCCAAGCTCATTCCATATATGGTCCCTACAGAAATCAGAAAGGAGACACTCAATCTGCCAGTCTAGACCAGATATAGATCCAGGTTCCAGAAGTGACAGGATAATGTGCTCAGGTACTGTACAAATTTATGCAATGTGGTACTTTGGGACCTGCCGAAAAACTATCGTCTTAGTGATTACAAATGTACACATCAAATGACTGACTAGAATTTCGAGTTTTGTCAGCAGTCTTTTGTCTTTGTAAAAGTTAGAAAGGAGCCAATTTGTTTCAGAGATAGTAGGAACTGCAGATGCTGGAGAATCCGAGACAACAAGGTGCAGGGCTGGATGAACACAGCAGGCCAAGCAGCATCATAGGAGCAGACAGGCTGACGTTTCGGGCCTAGACCCTTCATCAGAAAAGGGGGAGGGGAAGGGGGTTCTGAAATAAATAGGGAGAGAGTGGGAGGTGGATAGAAGAGGGATAGAGGAGAGGATAGGTGGAGAGGAAACAAACAATGTATCAATGTGGATTTCACAAGTTTCAAAATCTCCCCTCCCCCTACCGCATCCCAAAACCAGTCCAGCTCGTCCCTGCCTCCCTAACCTGTTCTTCCTCCCACCTATCCCCTCCTCCCACCTCAAGCCGCACCTCCATCTCCTACCGACCAACCTCATCCCGCCCCCTTGACCTGTCCGTCCTCCCTGGACTGACCTATCCCCTTCCTAACTCCCTACCTACACTCACCTTTACTGGCTCCATCCCCGCCTCTTCGACCTGTTTGTTTCCTCTCCACCTATCCTCTCCTCTATCCCTCTTCTATCCGCCTCCCACTCTCTCCCTATTTATACCAATTTGTTTCAGGTTTTTCAGCAAAATGTGTGTTCATGTCTTATTGGAATCTGGCTCATAACTGCATTTTCCATTGACTTAATTCGATTGAAAACCAGTCTAACATGAAGTTATCACTCTAAAAGTTTCATTAATTTTGTTGTTAATTACAATCAGATATGTTTCAACTGAAGATGGGAGCATCGCATTGCTATGTGCTGTTACCAAAATCTTCAAGTTGTACACAGAAAAAATTTTCAAAGAATTAGATATACTTCCAGGGGTAAAAATTGGAGACAAGAACATAACAAACTTTGGGTACATTGATAAACCAGTGATATTGGTAGAATCTGAAAAGCCCCTAAAGATTTTTTTCATTATTCATTCACAAGATGACAGCATCTCTGGCTAGGCCAGCATTTATTGCCCATTCCTAATTGCCCAGAGGGCATATAAGAATCAACCACATTGTTGTGAGTCTGGAGTTACTTGTGGGCCAGACCAGGTAAGGCTGGTAGTTTCCTTCCCTAAAGTGAACTAGATGAATTTTTCCAACAATCAATTTGTGGTCATCATCAAACTCTTAATTCCAGATTTTTAAAATCAAATTCAACCATCTGCTGTAGCAGGATTCAAACCCAGGTCCCCAGGACACTACCTAGGTCTCTGGATTAACAGTCTTGTGATAATGCCACTACACCATCGCCTTCCCAGCTTAGATCAGTAAAATCTAAAACTTTAGTTCATGGACTGAGTATTGTTACTAAAACTTCAAAACTATATTTTGAGGACTTGAGTTTTGAAACATTATGGAATTTTTTTCAGTTCTGTGGATACCTTAATTATTTTTGAAAAGTGTCAGTCAAAGGTCCATTTGGATAGTGTATCATTTTTAAAATAAGGAATTTCCTGGAAACCACATGATTTCATCTATTTGCTGGATGTGATCATTGGAGATCATTTGCTTGTGTTTATGACTGTCAGTGTTCGTTTCTTTTTAAACAGTGTTTTGGAGTCAGTTGGAGTTGGTGTCCTTTCTGCTGAAGTAAAGAATCATCTAACTCCGTTCTCCTGTTTCTATATGCAGTCTGGATGCGGGTCCTGTTTGGTACTCGGAACACTGAGTGAACTGCTCTCATGCAAAGACTTTGAGTTTGCCTCAACATTTCCTGAATGATTGTGTCTGCAAAGATCCTGTAGACAACTGTACATATCGAGTGACCTGTCTACGTGTGCTGCTACATTAAACCGAGAGCCAACTGAATGTTCCACATCTTATTGTTTTTGCCTTCAATCACAAACAATTATTGGCCAAAAGAGTTTTTCTTCAAAGTGAATCTCTGCAGAGAAATCCATTTTCTCTTCCTCTACCTGTTATGGCATTTAAATTGGTAAACATGGTACATCAAACTGTACACTCTTTATTTACATTTTTGTCAAATAAGTCTCAATTCCACAATAAATCAGTAACATTGTTGTATATTAAAGAAACCTGATATAGAAGAAAATATATATTGGCCATATTGGTAACTTGTTATACGTTTAATCTTATGATTTGACCAGTAGAGAGATGCAATTCATACTTCCTGTCTTGGTCATAACAGTGTGAACACCAAAAAGATAACAATAATAGTCGTTAGAAGGAATTCATAAGAAAAAAAACTAGAGTGAAGGTTGAAGTGGACAGTGTCACATGGGAATGAATAGATATGTTTGTCTATTTAGAACAAATGATAACAGAATATAGCCAGAAGTAATTTTTTGAAGGTAAAGAATGTTTTAACAATGAGAAAACTCAAATCTGTAATAAATAAAAAAATTCATAAGATACTATATTCCAACCACTTTCCTGTGTGCTTCCAAAGCATTACATTTTAAATGATAATCCATCCAAAGACTTCTTGTAGTAAAAATTTGCAAATTTGTGCAAATGTGCTCTGAGTACAGAAGTTTCTTCTAATGTTTATTGGATCTACTGCTGACAAGTTTATGTTTATGGCTCCTGGTTTTGAAAGCACCACAATTAGGAGCATCCTGAAGGGCTCGAGCGCCAATCTCGATTCTATCTTTACCCTGTGCACAATAACTCCTGTAATTTACAGTAGAAGCAATTGGAAGTAGGTGAGCAAGCTCTGTTGGCAGATGTTCCCTGAATAAACAAATGAGTAATGACCTTTGTCCTGCAACGTTGATAGTTGATCAAAAAGCGGGAGTTATCATAGCGGGGGAGAGACATCAATTGGGACTAACTGTTACATTGTTCCTTAAGAGGTATGAGTGACATCATTTTATTCTTTGCCTTTTACCCTATAATGTTCTTAATGTTGTTTCTGATATCGTTCCACCTTACGTATGTTTGAATAGAATTTATCGAAGTTGAGTAAAATGCAAGTTTTGACAGTCTAGTCAGCAATGATTATTTTACTTGTATTATGGAGAAATTTTAGAAATACTGCAGAGTGAAAAACAGAAGAGGATCTGTTGGTAGTAATTCAGAAATGACACATTACCAACAGACTAAAGCATAGTACCAAGATGAGCAGAGGAATCCTCCTGAGCTATCCCAGGGTTGTAGCATGTGAAGAAGGAACATAAAGTGCACATGCTGTGGAAGGGTCACTGGACCCGAAATGTTAGCTCTGATTTTCTCTTCCACAGATGCTGCCAGACCTGCTGAGCTTTTGCAGCAACTTCTGTTTTTGTTCCTGATTTACAGCATCCACAGTTCTTTCGGTTTTTATTTACATAAACCTCTTTGTTCAGCATTCTGCCTCCACTCACACACACCTTAGTGCTTGCAGTGGACTGGATCTTTGTAAAGTGCCTATGATCCGATGGCTAATATTTTTGATGGCATCTTTGCATATACAGCTAATACAGGATTTCATTGGAATCTTTCAAACTTACTGTAAAATGTATTCGAACCTCAAATGGAAATGTCTTTTTACATTATATACGTAATGAGCAACTTGAGCTGTACTGAAAGTTAAAAGCTACAAGAATTCTCTGCATTTACTTATTCTGAGAGTTTTCCAAATTAATGCATTTTCAATGAGATGATATTTCTTTTGTTCTTCACTTTATTCTTCCTGAAAAATAGTTTTCTGATATGATAAAAACACATTAGCACAGTTTTCACACCTTGTACTCTGAGGAATCGGTTGTGAATGAGTTAAAGAAATTTCCCTGGATTTCCTGGATACTGCTTTTTATGACCTCCTTTAATGATTATATTGCATTGTGCCAGGTACAGGGAAACCACTGCGATTGGTGACAGGTACCTCCAAGCTGATTGTGGCATCTTTAAATCAACCACCTGATTAAATATTAGCCTTTGCTGACTCAGATAGCAGACAGACTCAGATCCTCAAAATATGTCTTATTTTCTAAAAGATTAAGAGGCTGAAAGGCTGTATCATTTTATGATTCCACACAGTTTCAATTTTCTTATCATTACTTTAAATCTTGACTGCCTTCCTCTAAAATGATTGCCTTTTTTAGGAAATAGTTTAAATCTTCATGTCTAAGTACAACTTTAAACTTGCAAGGTAAGAACTATTGTTGTTCTCCGTTGTATGGGAAGTTTCATCTTAGTGAAAGTCTTCAGATTGACAATGCCCCAAACTTCTCAACGGGAATAATAATAGCGCTCAATGTAATTGACTGCAGTGTCCAAATAAACCCAGAGATCCTTAAGATAAAATTACGACATAGAAATTAAAAATAACAAAGAAAAACTGCTTATGATAGGTGTCAGGCAGAAAATACAATCGAGAACCAAGCAGAATACAGAAAACTCAGAAAGGAAGTGAAAAAAACAAGTGAGAGAAGCAAAGACAGGTATCTAACATAAAGGGTAAGTCCAAAGTCTTCCATAGGTACATGGACTGTAAAAATCTGGTTAAAGGATGAGAAATGGCAATTAGAAACCTAAAAGGAGATTTACACAGTGAGGCAGGGGCAAGGCTGAGCTATTTAATTAACATTTTACACCTGCCTTGAACCAGGAAGCAAATGTTACTCAGGAATGGAGATAGGGGAGAAAGTTCAGTCACTAAAAGGATTCAAAATTAACAAGAATGGGGTATTGGATAAGCTGTTGGTTCTTACAGTTGACAGGAAAACCTGCTCAGATGTGTTCCATCCAAGGTTATTACAGGGAGTGAGAATGGTATGATCATTGAATTGGCCAACTGTTAATCTGGAGACTCTTGAGCAATTGGCCCAGAGGAACATTTGGCTTGGAGGGTCTATGTTAGAAGCAGACTTCTTCCATTCTTTGTACTTTCTTCAGCAGATTCATATCTGTGTGTTTCAGACTTGTAGGTTGCTTTGTGGTTGTTGTGTACCATCTGTGTCTCTTATTTCCATGTGTGTCGATCAATGTCAGTCAGAGAGAGTTGTCGTTTGAAGTATTAGTGAAATGCCCTCAACAGGTCATATGATCTACCCCTGCTCCTGTCTCCCATGGTCTCATCTTCTTGCAGTCATCCTCCAACAGAAGCTCATGTTGAACCCTTCTGAAGTGTTAACGTGTGCTAGTAGTTGTCATAGGTTGAAAAGACTGCTGTGTGTTCAGAAATGGATGTATCTGCCCTATGTCAAGTCAATCTTTCCCTCTTGAATCATGCTGTAGAAAAGAGAGAAAAGTGTTGGTACAAGAACACACCTTTGCTTAACACCAGTTGGCATTGGATGCTTTCAGGCTCCATTCTATGTGACCTTTGTGAAACTTGGAGGGCACCTGTTGTGTAAGGAGGTAGCATTTTAAGAGTCTATGTCATGTAGTTAATTGTAACAGTATAGGAAAGTGGTGGGCATGGTTTGTTTTTCTGTATGCCAAAGGGCACAGGAGTGCAACCAGTAGAGTTACATTTGCAGAGAAGCTGCATGGCCACAATGGGCCAAATAATCTCCTTTTTAAATATTTTCTAATCAACCAGTTCAGAGATGTTATCACACACTTCAGGAACAAATGATACTTGGGATGTTATCATGCATCTCTGGAACAAATGGGACTTAAACCTGGGCCTCTTGGTCCAGAGGTAGGGACACTGCCACTGCACCACTACAGCCTATGACCCCCTTCTACACTATAGCCATTCCATGATCCATTGCCAATGTAATTGGATTGATAGAATTGGGCGTGTTTTCCTAAAGTGTAAACCATACCACTCTGTATCACAAACTTCTTCACCTGTTCCATAGCACTTGAATAGCTCAGTTTTGAGAAGAATTTCAGTTTTCCTCCTCTTGTTAACATGCTTATTAACATGTTTCACAAGCACCTGTAGTCTTCTGGTGTCAATGTTCTGAAAAGATCATTAACGTTCTTTAACTGGAAAAGCCCCAGATGAAAGGCCCAGGCTCATAATAATCTGAATTGAAAATGAGCAATTAGGTTTCAAATGTAGGCTTTAAGAGCTGCAAAGATTAAAGGAGAATGGATGAGTTCAAGACTGTGTTGTGAGTCTTGACGTCAACACCCGGAGGAGGTAGGACAGAGAGGACTATTTTGAATGATGTGAAACAGGAAATGCTGGATATGCTTCTAAGGTCAGGGAGTGTGGCTGGACACAGAAGTATGTTTAATGGTTCAGTTGTTATTAAATGGCAAGCCTACTGTTATATAGAGAATCGCAAGATAGGTTTGGCTAGACGTTTCTCAAATATAGCAACAGCATTCGCGTCTTCAAAAATCTTAAAATTTATTAAGAATTAGAAGGTTTGATAGAAAATAAATGGTTAGGCTTCCCATTGGCATCTTCAATATTGGAAGGACTTTGATGTTCCAAAAGTCGGGGAGGATATGATTGTTAATAGATGGAGGATTCATTGTTATCAAGATAATAGAAAGCGGGTAATGATACTTCTGCACAGACGACTTACTATTGAGTCCCATCAAAATGCAAACAGAACCCAATGGGCAGTTCATCTGTGATATAATTCTAGGTTAAAATATTAACCATCATTAATAATCCAGTGAGAAAGGGTTTGAACCTGATTCTGTGCTGAGCTTGCTAATCTCACCTGAGGTAACAATATGAACATTTCAATTGAGTTAATCATCCCTGCACAAAAGAGCTAAAACAAAATCTGTAAAAAGTACCATTCCTGGTTACCACACATTTAGGTGTGAGAGGATGTCGTCAGCTGTAACATCAATTGGCCTAATAACATTTAGATGTAGGTGGGTAAGTAGAGTTAAGATATAGCTCAGCTATTGTCTAATTATTAGCTGAGCTGTATAAGATCTGAACCAAATTTTGTCTTGCCCACTGTTTGTAGCTTCAATGGGCTGGGCAGAGCTGAAAAGAGAGTAGTTCATTTCTGATCTGCACTAGGACATTGGATCTAATTGCCCCTAACCCTCCTGCAATACTTTACAAGTCCAACATCAGATTTGTTTTATTGGTGTGACTGCCTGCTTCTATCTCAGCAATATTATTGCCCTTTTCCCAGCTCATCTGCTGCTGAACTCTTTGCTCACATCATTGTTACTTGACTGTTCCAACACAGTTCTGGCTGTTCTTCTGCTTTCTAGCTTCTGAAAATTTGAGGTTACCCAAAGTCCTCCTGCCTGTTGCATAACCAGCTGCAAATCCCATTCCCTTCAGAGTAATGGAATGCAGACTCACTGACATTGGCTCCCAGTTAAACAATGTTTTGAATTTAAAATCCTGATCAATTCCAACCAGCATACAACTGAGACTTCTCATGAGCTGACCAACATTGAGGGGCTTCACGCCTACAAAGGCTTAATCAACTCAATCTACATAGGATTCAAAATCCTAATCCTAGAAATCAGTCTTGACACACTCTCTCTAAGACTGGTGTATCATTCCTTGGACAATAAACAGAAAAGGTTCACAATAGTCTTGGTGAGTTCTCACCTAACCCTGAAACAATTGCAGTAAGACTTCCTTTCTCCTACATTCTATTCCCTTCATAATAAAGGGTAATGTGATATTTGCTTTCATAATTGCTTGCTGAACCTGTCAGTTAACTTTCTGTGATTCACGTACAGGGGTACTCAGGTTCCAGTATTCCAAGCTGGCTGCAAACTTAAAAAGTTCTTGTCAAACACAATTTCCCTTCACACATTGGAGCTGATTCTGCATGATTGCACTATGGTACGCTTGGTACTCTGTTATCATGTCCCTAATAATAAATTCAAAAATTTTCTCTATCACTGATTTGAAACTAATGTTTTGCTGTTTTTCTGATCCTCCTTTCTTAAATAGCTGCTTTATGGTCGCAGTCTTCCAATTCTCAAGGCTATTTGAAAATATAAGGAAGATCAAAAGCTATGCATCTACTAGCTCTGTAGGTGACTCTTAAATCCAGCAACCATGGACTTTGGGGAATTATAGATTTTAATTCCATGATTTTCTCCATGCTTTTTATTTCAACTAATGTTAATTTCCTTAGTGGGGACTGGTTAGCTTAGGTGGCTGGAATGTGGTGCTGAGTGATGCCAGCAACTGGATTCAATCTCCATACCGCCTACTCTAGACTATGAAGACCTATATCCTTACCTTGTCTCACTCTTGAGAAGGGAGTTGGGGATCAAGGGAAAAGGGAGGAGGGTGGGATTATGGTATTGAACTCGATGATCAGCCATTCTCAAATTGAATAGTGGAGCAGTCTGAGGGATTGAATGGCCTACTCCTGCTTCTATCTTCTATGTTTGCTCCTCAAGCTATATAACCAATTGTGTCTCTGTAATAAAATGAGACACCTATGGTCCTGCATGGACTAATTGCTTCATTCTCACTAGGTCCTGCGTTGCCCCACTTTTTCCAGTATTCTTTTGTGACTTCTATTAAAGGTGAATACAAAGTATCTATTTAATGTCTCTGCCATTTTCATTTATTGCAATGATTGTTTCTCCTGCTGGGCCTTTTAGAAACCCACGTTTAGTTTCACTTACATGTTCCTATTCATATCTCTATAGATGTTTCTACAATCTTTTTTAGTTTCCTGCTTGCTAACTCACATTCTTTCTTTTGCTGAATTCAAAGGTCCTATTAACCTTCAAACTCTAATAACATTTCAGGTGACCCCTTTAAGCTGAAATAAAAGCATAAAGTGCTGGAGAAACTTAGCAGGTCTGGTGCCACCTGAGTTCTGAAGAAAAGTTATATTGGACTTGAAATGTTAACTCTGTTTCTCTCTCCACAGATACTGCCAAACCTGCTGAGTTTTTCTAGCACATTCTGCTTTTTTTTCAGATTTTCAGCATCTGTATTTTGTTTTTATTCCCTTTAATCTGATACTACCTTATTAATCTATTATTGAATCATAGAGACATACAGCATGGAAACAGGGTCTTCAGCCCAAACTGGTCCATGCTGACCATGGTGCCCACTCAGCTAGTTCCAACTGCTCACATTTGGCCCATTTCCCACTAAATCCTTCCCATCCATGTACCTATCCAAATGTTTTTTTAAATATTGCTATTGTATCTCCCTCAACCACTTTCTCTGGCAGCCTATTCCATATACACACCACTCTTTGAATGAATAAGTTGCCCCTCAGGTCCTTAAATCTTCTTCCTCTCACCTTAAACTTATGCACTCTAGTTTTCAATTCCCCATCCCTGGGAAAAAGACTATATGCATTCATCCAATCTATGCCCCTCACGATTTTATACACATCAAAGAGGTTACCCCTAATTCTCTTCCGTTCTAAGGAATGAAGTCCTATCCTGGCCAACCTTTCCCTATAACTCAGGCTTACTGGTCCTGGCAACATCATCATAAATCTTCTTTACACACTTTTCAATTTAACTATGACTTTCCTATAACAGGGTGACCAAAACTGTACACAATAGTCCAAGTGCAGCCTCACCAATGACTTATACAACTGGAACACAATGTCCCAACTCCTATACTCAATGCCTCAACTGAAGCTCAGCGTGCTAAATGCCTTCTTTAACACCCTGTCCACCTGTGACACTGCTTTCAATGAACTATGTTCTTGTACTCCTCGATCCCGCTGCTCTACAACACTCCTCAGGACCTTACCATTTATAGTCTAAGTCCTACCTTGGTTTGACTTTCCAAAGCGCAACACCTCACACTTATCTGTATTGAATTGCAATTGCCAATCCTCAGTCCACTTCCCCATCTGATCAAGATCCCACTGTAATTTTTGATAACCTTTGCTATCAACGATACCTCCTAATTTTGAATCATCTGCAAACTTTCTAATCATGCCTTGTACATTCACACCCAGATCATTTATGTAAATAACAAATATAAAAATATACATAAAAACTATTATGATAGTCAAAATTGAACTGCTTTTCCATTGATTGTTTTACCCTATAGAGGAATTTTTTTTTGTATATATAAATTGATTCTTTAATTGTTTGCCATTGCTTAGCTACAGTAATATTTTTAATCTCATTTCCAAATTGGCATTATCAAACTAGCCCCTCGCATCTGTTTCATTTGATTCTTACAAATTTAAGACCCTAGTTCCACATTTAACTAAGTAATATTCAAATTCAGATTCAAAATCGTTCATGTTATGCTTGCTCTTCCCAAAATGCTTCTTTATCATATAGTAATTAATTATCCCTTTTTACCTGCACAATATTAAATATCGTGCTTCATTGTTGATCTAGAAAAGTTTTGAATGCATTCCATGACCTCAATCTTAAAATTTTGCTGTTTTTTAGTAAGTTTGTGGGATATGGGTATTACTAGCTAAGCCATCACTTATTGCTAGTCCCTAATTGCCCTTGAGAAGATGGTGGAGATCTGCCTTCTTGAAAAGCTACAGTCTGGAGTGCTATTAAGAAAGAAGTTCCAGGATTTTGACCCAGTGATAGTGAGGAAAACAGTGGTGTAGTTCCAAGTCAGGATGGTATGTGTCTTGGAGGTGAATTTCAGGGTAATGGTGTTGCCATAAATTTGCTGCCCTGTCCTTTGAGGTGGTCAAAGGTTGGAAAGTATAATTTAAGTATTCTTGGCAAGCTGCTGTAGTGTATCATGTAGATGCTACAAACTGCTACATATTCCATCACAACGTATTCCATCACAATCTTGAGTTGCGACTTGTAGACCAGCGCTTCCCAAACACTTGATCCCTGTGATCATATATGGCGAATTGGAAAATGTTGGAACCCCACTGACAGAGTTACAAGTAGAGAATTATGTTGGTCAGTTATGTGTGGGGGTGCAGTGGCGGGCAGGGGGAGGCATGTTGTTGAGTAATTGGGGTTTTGTTTATGAGTACGTGTTGTTGTCTAACTTAGCGCAGTTGGTAAACTTCGTTATTTACTATTGAAGTGAAAAAATACAATAAAAACCCCAATATGCAGTTTAAAAAGGGCTGACATTCTGAAACTGACAGCACTTTGATCATCCACTGGTAGACCCCTCTTGAAATGACAGCAGTTGCATTGGAGCTGTGAGCCGGAAGTAATTATTACACTGCCATTTCTATTGCATTCTTGCCATGTTCATACTAATTGTGAGAAATTCAAATCTAACCCTATATCCAGGTAATATGGAACCGCATTCCTTGGATAAACTATCGTTTCATACTTGCTGAATCATATATAGGAGCTTCAGTGTGTCTTAAGTTATTTTCAAAGACAAAATTATTGGACAGGTTTAATCATTAAATAACATTTACAGAAGGAACGGCCTAAGTGCTTTATTAAAATAATACAAACACAACAGTCAGGAACTGGTCCAAAGAAGTTAAACCAGCTACTAAAATAAAATAATTTGAACACTTCCTCATAGACTAGTCAGTAATAAAACAGATGGAAAGTAGAGGTGAGTTCGGGAGGGGGAGAATTACAACAAAATACAATGGCAAAGGAGAAGTAGGTTCATACTTAGGATAGTGGACAAGGAAACAGCTCCAAGGTGCTGCCAATATTCTGCTGTAACTGTCCATTAAGAGTTAGGTTATAATTGGTCAGAATGTTCTCTCAACAAATATCCTCATGTTATTTACAATTAATGCCTCCCTTTGCTTATTGCCTCTATTGTCTGGCCAATACCAGGAAGCATGGTCAATGTGCCTGTATCATAACATCATGGGACACAACATATTGCTGCCCTGTCAACAGTCTTACACCCTACCATTTTATTTAGGCTTCTTGAGGTACTATAATCCCTGAATTACTTTTATGTGCCCTTAGTTTTGGTGGAAAAAATAGATCTTTCTTGTTGAACCCAGGATACAGTGTGAGCAAAACTTAATAGTGCAGGACAGTAATGAGTCATGCTTTGCCTGTTAGTGATTAGGAACATATTAGTTACATTATGGGCTAAGATTAGCTGTTTAATCTTTATTTGTAATGAAATATGGAAGCAAAGCATTGATTTCTTCTGGTAATGATGGAAGTAGCTGATTTGATTAACAACCACTTCTATTGACTTAAAACATTGAATAGGATGAGAAACAATAAACATTGTGAATGTTATATGTACTTCCAATGTGGGCTGGAAGTATGTGTGTTGTTTTATTTAGAGAGAAATAATGGCCTGAAGTAAACTGCACTGATGAACTAACTACAAAGCAGAACTATGGTTAACAATGTCTCAATTTTTAAATTGAAAAGAAGTTGAAGTTTTGACCATATTAACATTGGTGTTTCTCAAGGGTGTGGCTGGTTTCAGGAAAAAGAAAGGCCACTTGTTTGGGCTATTACTATTAAGCCAATTAAGGTCATTTACACGTTTTATTCCAGACACAAATTCTGTTTCCTAAACACTGGTACCATCTTGCTCCCTGGCACCTATGTGAGGCTGAACCACATGGTATGTAAACCTGGTGTCACATTTAACCTCCAAGACAATGCTTCACATATTCATGTTATCACTAAAATTGCTGATTTGCACCTTCATAATGTCATCCAACACCGCATACACCTCCTCTCAACCTTTAAACAGTTTCAGCTCATCTGCTGAAATCCTCATCCGTTTCCATTGTAATCTCCAGGCGTTGGGAGGAGTACAGAATGCATGCTCCATTTAACTCATAAAAACTGCCTTTCATAACTGGTCTCACAATGTTTTGTCATTGTTCACGGCGAACAGCATGAGGGATACAGAATGACTGGACGAGCCAGCACATGAGAGGAACCAATTATAATGGGCCTTGTAAGTTGTTGTTGTAGAATAGTGCCATCAATCTAACAGATGCAGATTGTGCGGACCACCCAGCGCCCATTGAGGCAGCTACACTGGTCAACATCAGGAATCCTGACCGGGGCAGGCATGAGGGGCTCAAACCAAAAGGAGCTGGACAGAAACGCTCTAGAAAAGGATGGGAAGGTACAGCAGAGAGTTAAACTTAAAAAACATGGTTGTCCAGGGTGCCAGAGGGATTTCAGGAAATGGAGTTGGGCAACTGGGAGGTAAAGGGGAGGGTCACAGTCATAAGAGTGGGAGCTGCATATTGACAGTGGGATCACTACGGGGTCAGGAGGTGTGTTTGGGAGTGAAGAAGGCCAGGGGGTCACTTGAAAAAGGAATGATAGGCCAAGAATGATCATGGGGAGCTGATTAGCTGTGGTCTCGGGGGATGTTCAGAAAGGTCACAGGAAAATGGTGAAAGGGGACATAGTCACAGAGCGAGTTGGAAGCATCACAGAGAAGATACCAGAGGAGAGGTGGAGACCATCCCCAGTGATGAAGGGGCAAGTGTAGGTTGAAGAGGGGAGGGAAGTCAGGGTGAAGGAATGGAAAGAAAAGTTTACGCGTACCATTCTTCTCTTCACTTACACAACAACAAAAACAAAGTTGCTGGAGAAGCTCAGCAGGTCTGGCAGCATCTGTGATGGAAAAAACAGGGTTAAAGTTTCAGGTCCGGTGACCCTTCACTCAATCAGGTCAGTACACTGAGGATGTGAGGTAGAAATGGAAGGGGCCTGAGGTACCCATTTGCATGGTTCATGCACAGATCAAACACCCCAAATGGGAGTGAAGCGAAACAGAAGCAAACAAAACAGTTCAGCGAGTAGCCAGTTAAGGACTGTATGTAGAAAAGAAGCACTTACTGCAGCATGACAATTAACAGACTCTAGCCACTCAACATGCAGTCATAGAGTATGTTTAAAGTAGAGATTAACAGATTTCTAAATTCCAATGGGATAGTGTGGGGGAAAAGGCATCAAAGTGTTCAATCAGTCATGCTCAATTGTGCTGAATGGCCTCCTTCTTTTCCTATGTTCCTGAACTGGAAGAGATTTTACTCCTGTGATGTTCACCTTGTTAGTGGCCATTTCCAACTTTTCCTGTAGGTGTGCACCTACAGGGACCTGCCACAATCTTATATTCTAACATCACACTAATGTTTGCTGCCACGCATCAGAGGGTATGCGGGTGACAAGTAGTACCCACATAAGTCCCAGTTAATGGCCCCAATGCGTAACCTCCCCCTCCTTTCTGGACTGATGCTGAACAGCACTACAATGTTGCCCATGCATCTATGAAGGACTATCATTGGACAGACCATTGGTCTACTGAAGATACTTTACCATTGCCCGAGCCACTCAGGAGGAAGGCTTCAGTTGTTACTGAAGAGTTTCCCAGGTTGGTGATTGTTTGCTGAGTCTGCACAAACTAGCTTGACACCACAGTGACAGCTTCACAGAGGGGAAATGGACCGGGCCTATGTTTATTTGAAGAAGAGGGGGAGTCTGCCCCCAGGCGAAGAGGTAACTGCTGTGCAATTCAGGCTCTGTTCATCAGAATGTGATGCCAAGCCAATTCCAGATAGAATACTCACTGAAATGAATGTCTTTGCCTGGTCCAAGGTAAGGAGAAACACTTTCATGTTATATCTTCTGAGGGTGCTGACTCCTCCATCTCAGAGATGTTGGTAAAGGCAGGAGATTCTTCTCTCCCACATTCGGATTGGGATCCAAAGGCTGCGCAATAAAATTTGTTAGTGTCATGATTTGCCAAGATATTTTTTCAGACATTGCTGCATCATGTGCAATTGGGGTGAGCATCTTTGAGATTTTCTCACTAAATGCATATACATATTCAATCTCTCCTTCAGCATAGTGTCGTGGCCAGAGGAAATTCCAAAGGAAAGCACATTCTCTTCTGTAGTCTTGTGTTTGAATTCTGTTTCTTTTTAAACATAGAGCCTAAAAATTCAGCCTACAATCAGGAGAAGAGGGAAGAAAAATGGTTAGGGGAGACTATTTACATTTCATTGCAAATCCTCCGGGTCGGCAGCAATTTGTTTTAAAAAAGTTTTTAAAAGCCTGTATTATTGATAACACTTTTAAAAATGTTGGAGGTCCAATTGTCAGTCTTTTCTCCATCAGATGCTTGATATTCCTTCACTTTGCATCTGGAGTGATCTTGTGATGGGACCTGGTATTTACTGAAAAGAAGCCATGCTAATAAACCGCATGTTAATGATTTACAGAGACACTGATCTTTTCCAAGGAAAAGGTTGTTGCATCACAGGTACAGTGTTGAATGTGGTGCTATGAGAAGAACATGTACATGGTCGAGCTGGTGATTATATATGGAAAGCAGAGTTAGAGGAGCTACATTAAAGAAAAGTGTCAAACCAAGTGGTCACTGGTTGAGATCTGACAGCAGAGCTGCAAAGTGAAAGTGTGAAGGGTATGTCATAACAACATAGTCAACGGGTTTGTTGGGCCTTGGATGGCAATCAGAGAATCAAAGGCTGGCAGATAATGAATAGAATTGATACTGCAGCAGAGAAGCTGTCTGAGTGAATTTCTGTTGAACACATTAAAACGCTGGACAGGAAAAGACCCAGGCCCTTGCAGACCATAGCATGAATAAAGGTGCAGGTTAAGAATGACTGCGGGCATAGCTGGAGATATCCACTGCCTGATCACAGATATGACCTCTGATCGAGCAGCATTGTTGCAAGCATGAAAACCAAGGTAGCTGACTGCGATACATTCAGATGACGATTATGATCTTCTGTAGACTGGTTTTTGAATCAGGAATATCTTTTCTGAAAACAGTGTTAGTTAAAAAGATCAATCTGATTTGTTTATAGCAAAGATAGATGAGACAATTATTATTAGATCACAAAACATGCACTGCTTTGAGCTTTGGTTTTAGGTACTAATGCCATTAAAGGTGTCCTTAACTTGGGATCATTTTTTAACATGGCTATCCATATTCTATTTATGGAACATCTTGTGAAACTGGAAGTTTTCAGAAGTTTAAAACACAGAATAAAACTGGAGCACTTTTTATTCAAAGAAAGGTAAGATCTAAAAATTCTGAGAGTTTTGATGAATTCAGCCAGGAAAATATATTTCAATCGATGAGTGGCTCAGGATTGTTGGCATGCAAATTTAAAATCATTAAAACATCTCATTTTACCAAGTTGTTTGGAAGGACATGGAAAGTAGTAGCAGAAATCTTGGTGGAGATAGAATTTAAGAAATAAATTTAAAATACTGTGACTAACTAAAAAACTCTTTCAGAGACCTAGCACCAATGCACAGGGCTGAATGGCCTTATTTTTGCCATAAGATACAGTGTGTTGTGGTTTATATTCATAGGGTCCAACTGCTACTCCCAAAAACACAGGATATCTTTGAAATTGTCTCAAGTCTGCTACAGTGATAATGATGTGACTGAGCAGGGCCAAATTGTAGGAAAACATCAGAGACTGAATGCTTGGGGATAATGAAACTAAATAATAAAACGCATATATTACCAGGTGTAACTATAAAGACAAGTGTGTGGATTATAAATACACCACTGTAAAGTATGTCGGAGATAGGAAGAACTGCAGATGCTGGAGTCAGAGACAACAAAGAGTGGAGCTGGAGGAACTCAGCAGTTCAGGCAGCATCAGAGGAGCAGGAAAGTCAATGTTTTGGGTCGGGACCCTTCTTCAGAACTGGGGAGGGGGAAGGAAGCTAGGAAATAAATAGAGGGAGGAGGGGTGGGGCCAGGGGAAGGTAGATGGGATGGTGATAGGTGGATGCAGGTAGAGGTAGTGGGGATTGGTCAGAGGGAAGGGTGGGCTGATAGTTGGGGGAGAAGATGGACAGATTGTGTCAGGTCAAGGAGGCAAGATGGAGGATGGGTGGGATTGGGAAGGGTTGGTGGAGTTGGTGATAGGTGGATGCAGGTAGGGGGTAGTGAGGATTGATCGGTAGGAAGGGTGGGGTGGATAGGTGGGTAAGAAGATGGACAGGTTGTGTCAGATCAAGGAGGCGGGATGAGAGGGAGGTTTGGATGTGGGATAAGGCTGGGGGTGGGGAGTTTTTAAAACTCCCAATTCCTCTGCCTCCGCTGCATCTGCTCCCAAGATGGAGCATTCCACTCCCAGACATCCCAGATGCCCTCCTCATTCAAGGACTGCAACATCCCCCCTCCGGTGATCAAAAATGCCCTCAACCATATCTCTTTCATTTCCCGCACTTCTGCCCTCAAACCCCCTCTTCCAACAAAAATAAAGACAGAGTCCCCCTGATCCTCATATATCACCCCTCCCACCTCCGCATCCAGAGCATCATCCTCCGCTATTTCCGTCACCTACAATCTGACCCCACAACCAAAGAGATATTTCCCTCCCCTATCTGCATTCCGGAGGGACCGCTCTCTCCGCGACTTCCTCATCCGCTTCACACTTCCCATTAACTCCACCACACCCAGCACCTTTCCCTGCAATCGTAGGAAGTGCTACACCTTCCCCTACACCTCCCCCCTCACCTCTATCCGATGCCCAAAGCAAACTTTCCATATCTGACAGGGGTTCACCTGTACATCTTCCAATGTGGTCTACTGTATCCGTTGCTCCCGATGTGGCCTCCTCGACATCAGTGAGACCAAGCACAGACTTGGGGACCGTTTCGTGGAGCATCTGCACTCTGTACGTGATAATTGACAACAACTTCCAGTCACTAACCATTTTAATTCCCCCTCCCACTCCCTGGGTGACATGTCCATCCTGGGCCTCCTCCAGTGCCACAAAGACGTCACCCGCAAACTGGAGGAGCAACACCTCATATTCTGCCTCAGGAGCCTACAGTCCAATGGCCTAAACGTAGCATTCACCAATTTTAAAATCTCCCCACCCCTGGTCTCATCCCATGTCCAAACCTCCCTCTCATCCCCGCCTCCTTGATCTGACAACCTGTCCACCTTCTTAGCCACCTATCCGTCCCACCCTTCCCATTGATCAATCCCCACTACCCCCTACCACCTATTACCACCCCAAAAACCCGCGGATAAGGGAGGCGCAGTTGTAGTATGGTGCACTGACCTCTACATCGCCGAGGCCAGACACCAACTCTCCGACACCTCCTCCTACCGCCCCCTTGATCATGACCCCACCCCTGAGCACCAAACCATCATCTCCCAAACCATCCACAACCTCATCACCTCAGGTAACCTCACACCCACAGCCTCCAACCTCCAACCTCATCATTCCCCAACCCCGCACCGCCCGCTTCTATCTCCTTCCCAAAATCCACAAACCTGACTGCCCTGGTCGACCCATTGTCTCCGCCTGCTCCTGCCCCACCGAACTGATCTCCAACTATCTCGACTCCATTTACTCCCCCTTAGTCCAGGAACTCCTACCTGCGTCCGTGACACCACCCATGCCGTCCACCTCCTCCAGAACTTCCAATTCCCCCGTCCCCAACACCTCATCTTAACCATGGACGTCCAGTCCCTATACACCTGCATTTCCCATACCGATGGCCTAAAGGCCCTCCGCTTCTTCCTGTCCCGCAGGCCCGACCAGTTCCCCTATACTGATATCCTCAACCGCTTAGCCGAACACGTCCTCACCCTCAACAACTTCTCTTTCAATTCCTCCCACTTCCTACAGACAAAGGGGGTGGCCGTGGGTACCCACATGGGCGCAAGCTATGCCTGCCTCTTTGTAGGTTACGTGGAACAATCCCTCTTCCGTACCTACAGTGGCCCTAAACCCCACCTCTTCCTCCGTTACATTGATGACTGTATCGGCGCCGCCTCGTGCTCCCACGAGGAGCTCGAATAGTTCATCCACTTCACCAACACCTTCCAACCCAACCTTAAGTTCACCTGGACCATCTCTAATACCTCTCTCTCCTTCCTGGACCTCTCTGTCTCCATCTCGGGTAACCACCTAGAAACCGATATCCATTCCAAGCCCACTGACTCCCACAGCTACCTAGAATCCACCTCCTCCCACCCACCTTCCTGCAAAAATGCCATCCCCTATTCCCAACTCCTTCGCCTCCGCCGCAGCAGCTCCCAGGATGAGGCATTCCACTCCTGTACATCTCAGATGCCCTCGTTTTTCAAGGACCGCAACTTCCCCCCCTCAGTGGTCAAGAATGCCCTCCACCGTGTCTCCCGCATTTCCCGCAACTCATCTCTCACACCCCCTCCCCACAATAATAACCAAAACAGAATC